TACAAGCACTGTGCAGTCTATGCTGACTCAATTCACATAAAAAATTCAGAAAATAAAAAAAAAAAACTTTGTATAACCAAACTGAGGTATGTAACCAATTCAAAATTTAAAAGCGCTGGTTATGAGCGGCGTAAACGCAGGAGGGGAAAGAGTGGCCTTCCTTTTTTTTCAGGAGGTTTAAAATCACAGCCAGGAAGAGAAATAACGGCGCGCAACAGGCAAGTGGCCCCATTGCATGCTTCTAAACTAGGCTGCTGCAGGTTACAGTGGGTAAACGCGAGAAAATTTATAAGGCTAGTAGAACTTCACTTCAATGCTTTTTGCTCACCCTTATTCCCAATCGCACGAAAACTATAAAAATCCCTCATATATTTATTCGTTCACTCTAAATTTATATGTAAGCTTGTTGCGCCTAGATCATGGCATGAAAAAACTCAGCTTCCCGTTTCAAGACAATTAGTATGCATTTCAAGCTGAATCTGAAAATTCTGAATTTAAAGTTCGCTCTGTTCTGAATTTTTTTAACGAAAATAGATGACCTTGGGCACAAATTTACATGCCAGAGAAAGCAGCAAGTCCTGAAAACTGGCTTCCGACCATTCGTGTTGCGTAGTGCAGTTAACTACAAGCTCAAAATTTTAATTTTTATGCATTTTTGCCGTGCAGCGCTAAAGCGCTGCAATAGACAGCAAAAGCGCATATTACCACGACCCTGTGTGTGTGCGTGGGTGTGTGTGTTCGTCTGTCTGGGTACTTCTACTCATCAACCAAGCTTGAGATAATGAAGGTTCCCAGTGTGTTTCCTAGCCAAGTGCTACCCCAGGAGCGTGTCACCAACTATCACGCACGTCCACGCCTCACGTGCAAAAACGTGAACTTTGGCGGGAAAATCGTTAACTCGGTAACAAAAAAAGCTAGCAAGCTAAAATTTTAAAGGAATGTCCCTGACTCATGCACTACCAAAAGGTTTCAAATTTAGCCTCTTTGAACCGCCTGGTCTTGCATGCGGGCAAGTGAAAGTTTTTGCAGGAAAATTGCTAACTCGCGAACGAAAAGAGCTGGAAAACCGAAACTCTAGGGGGTTGTTCTTTATCATGTTCGGCCAAAAGATTTAAAATTCATTTGCCCAACAAGTCCGAGTCTCGTGTAGGGATACGTGAAAATTTGGCGTGAAATTGCCAAACCAAGAATCCGAAAAACCAGAAAGCCGAAATTTTGAGAAATGTCCCCTGCCCATGTACAACTTAAAGATTATTTCAAACTGAGCCCTCAGACAAGCTTGGTACTTACGTAAGAGCACGCGGAAGTTTTGGCGGAAAAACTGCTCACTGAAGAGCTACGTCATTTCCAAACAAGGACCGTTAAACGGAAAATGTTTATTTTCTGTTACGTAAAATTTACGATAATTTATGCGGATGAGCACACAGGAAAAGTGTAATTCAGCATCTATTCATATAGTTAACGATTTGCTTGCTTTAAGTTAAGCTCAAAAACGCATGATCGCACCGGCAAGCCCGGTGCTTACCATCCTAAATTTTTTTAGATAACCTGAGTCGGAGTGCGATCACGAATCAGAAACACTGAAATATGAAAATTGGCTTCAGGCTACCCAATCTGTTTCATGCGGGCAGCTATATTCCAGATCTCTTGTTGTCACTTATTCAGTTCTAAAATTACAAAACCAGCTT